ATTGTGATGAAGTTACAGTTTTCTGCCGATTCGTTTTATTCGTAGATTTATTGTCATATAATAGTTTAAATTTGACATAAAGCTGAACTGGGAAAGAAGGGATATGGTGCAAGGGTTGACCAACTCTGATAGAAAACTAAACCGGACGAATGTGCAAAAATCTGTATACTTGCTACATCATTTGTGAGTATTGATCCCAAAAATTAAATGAATTTAATTATTACCAAATACAGCATTACATATTGCCATTCATTTGAGTATCTCAATGAAAGTTGCAAAATCATTTCTACTATTCCAAGCATTACTGTTTGTGCACATCTGTGTAAACTTTCCTTCACTATGTTATAAAGTTTTAGACAAGATTGGAAATATCTTTACAGATAAATGAATGGCTTGCACTACTCCGGTATTGTGTCAGATTTCTACATTTATTTATTTAAATGTCCATATCTGATACATGTACAATATCACTACTCAATGAAACAAAATAAAACGCAACGACACTTGAGTTTTATTGTTGTTTATCATCGAAAATTAATCCCCAATGAGGCCGTAACCTCGCTCACAACTCACTACAAGTTAAAGACGGTCTATTGTACTGGGTCTTTGTGTATTTCATTGCAAGACGTCGATCACGCTATATAGCTTTTCAATGTAGAACAGAGCTGCGGGGAATTATAAACAATTTATGAACTTTTTCGTGTTAAAAATCTGGCAAATACATATGGTGTCTTCTTTTATTTCTTTCTGGCATGTTGTTTAAATTTACTTTAGCTAGCCGTACGCGTGATCTTTTGCAATTAATAAATTATTGCAAACGGTAAATATTGATATAATACACATCAACACGTAAATTCTCTACAAGAGTACATTTTATGAAGTAATCGGGAATTACACAACACATTTTATGAATTAATCGGGAGTTACACAACAAAAATTCTTATAGCATTAATAATGCATGTTAATATGAATAAACAAATCAATAATAAGTCATATAAATAGATCTGTATCATTAATGAAATCATAACGATCCGTTTCTCACATCCACATTAAAGTAAATTAACGATGGTTTATCAAAGGGAGAAATAATAATGGCTTAGCCGTTACGTGATCATTATAACAAATGACCAATATGAGGATACGGACAAAACTATTCCAACATGCAATGTCTGATTTGTTATCATATTAAAGATGCTGCCTTTTCTGTTTCTTTGTAAGAGACGGTTCTAAATTGATGGTATATAAATAAGAGAAAAATGAAAGGACCATCGATGTCCTTGTTTTTGAGATATAAGCCATTGAAAATTTGGCGAGAAATGATTCTCTCTATATTTTTCATACATTTAACATTGACACCTTTTTCTTTCAAAAACTATGAAAAATAACAAGGCTGTTATAAGAAGTTCAAATATGGTTTTTTACTTATATGTAATAAAACTATGTAAAGAAATATAGGGGTTAGCAGGCTTAGTTTTCAATGGCATTACATAGATGAAGCCAGATGATTTCAAATATCTGACATACAGTCAAAACCCTGATCAGTGAACCTCTCTTACGTCAAATCTATCAACACAGGCATGCAAATAAAACATTTTAGGTCTGAATCCTTGTGCGGAGATCTATTTTTTTCCAAGAGTGACCGATACTATTGACAAATATTGGGAAGCTTGTTCCGGTTTGTTCCAATAAAACCTTAATTGTCTTCATAATTGACCAGTTCCTGTCAGGTACATAGCATATTATAGTTATTTATTTATATAATATTTAGACAATACATTTTATCATGATTTCAGACGTTTCAGTTTAAAGTTTAAAAAGTGATGCAACTCCCGGAGAATTTATTTCACACTAGAGATATTTTCTCTTAATCCTTTAATCATTACTAAAATTCATATTATCATTGATTTCTATAAGGACATGTATACTTGAAGGTTTCAACAGAATTTCGGCGTATTTCGGAATATAACCATATATATTATATATAAGTGCATAAGATAGCTCAAAACAACAATATTGATAGATTTTGGCAGAATGTTAGTAATATTTAATCGACCATTGTAAAGCTTATTCTATGCAATTTTCTTAAATAAGTACAACTAAAAGTTTAAGTTTTAAAATATTGTTTTTGGAATATGTTCTTTTAATTCTAGCATTCATTTATTATTATTATCATTATTTATTTTATGATGCGTTTTTTTTTTCATTGAGAAAAAAGTAAAATAACAAAAACACCGAACTCCAAGGAAAATTCAAATCGAAAAGAAAAGTTCCTTATCAAATGGCAAAATCAAAAGGCCAACACATCAAACGAATGGAAAACAACTGTCATATTCCTGACTTGGTACAGGCATTTCCTTATGTAGAAAATGGTGAATAGTGAAATGAGAATTAACGTATTATCAAAATATACTGTCTTTTGTGATGTCGCCCTGTGTATGCATGAAATAATAACATCAATTAAAGCAAACAATATTCAGAAGATCTTACTTTAAGTATATTTTATAAAGAAGATAGCACACATTTCCCTTGATTTTTTTCCACACCAATATAAAAAAAAAGATGTGTAGGAATGACAACGAGACAACTCTCTAACAGAAATGACGTAAAAGTTAGCAACTACATTTAAACAGATCACGTTATGACCTTTAACAATGAACAAAACCCATACCGTATAGCAAGCTATCAAAGACCCCCAAAAGTTACAATATTATTATCTACAACAGCAATTTGTAGCTGAACGTCAAATACAGGGGAAATTTGCCATACCTCTTTTTCAAATTATTAGATTTGTCTTCTTAATTTAAATATGACCTATCCAGGAATTCTTATAGTTTAAAGATAGTAACTGGATATAAGTTGTACATGTGGGAAAAAAATGAAACTTGAAAATAGCTTTTAATCTTATTTTATTCAATGACAACATTCACAATTTATTTAATATTCTACACCCGTAGAAGGTCATTTTCATTTTTTTTTTTTCAATTTTTACATTATTTCACCGTATTGCTCCTCCATATGTGTACTTTGAGTTTGTAACTATATTATAACTCATTTCTAAACAGATGAACACTTTATAACACCCAAAGATAGCTCAAAACTGTGATTTTGGCAGATTTAATTATTTATCCAATTAACATAAAACGACATTCTTATCCAAAAACAAAAGTTTGAATTGAAGGTGTGTATTGTCTTTCGGGTACAAATTCATCCATGCTCATAAGTTGTATTATTTTATGGAAATATGTTTTAAGTATATAGCATAAACTCTTCAATATTTAAAAACCTGTATACAGGGTTTGACAGCTTTTATATTTTAGCTCTGTTGGTGAATCCCATATATATATATATAAAGAAAATGGCCAAACACATTCCTTGAATAAATAACTTCAACCTTGCGTATCGTTACCTTTAGTCACAAAATAGATATTTCCTTTTTGTTGGATAGTTTTTTTTTCGTTGTTTCGTAAATTATACTATAGTTGTTGTTGAAACCAACGGCCATAACCCCAAAAGACTAAGTTATATAATTTGTTCGATAGGAAGATACCCCATTCTACTTAGTTGCAGTCATATTAGATTTTACAACAGTTGCAGTCATATTAGATTTTACAACAGTTGCAGTCATATTAGATTTTACAACAGTTGCAGTCATATTAGATTTTACAACAGTTTCAGTCATATTAGATTTTACAACAGTTTCAGTCATATTAGATTTTACAACAGTTGCAGTCATATTAGATTTTACAACAGTTGCAGTCATATTAGATTTTACAACAGTTGCATTCATATTAGATTTTACAACAGTTGCAGTCATATTAGATTTTACAACAGTTGCAGTCATATTAGATTTTACAACAGTTGCAGTCATATTAGATTTTACAACCACCTGTGTATTTACGTCCAGAAATTCAAGTGCAGTAAGTGTGTATCTAGCAACTTATGGAAGTGTTATTGGTCTCTAAACTTAGTGCGTGGGACATTATCCCAATGGTAAGAAACCACTCTAGTGATTGTTATAGTCCGTGAACAAGATTGTCCTTTAACATGTTTAACTTGTAAAAAGTAAAATTACCAAAATACCGAACTCCGAGGAAAATTCTAAACAGAAAGTCCCTAAGCAAATGGCAAATTCAAAAGCTCAAACACATCAAACGAATGGATAATAACTGTCATATTCCTGACTTGGTACAGGCATTTTCTTATGTAGAAAATGGTGGATTAAACCTGGTAATAGGTTTCAACAATACAATCCCTACCAGTTTCGTGATATTGAAGAAACAAAAATTAAATAAAAAAGAAATAAACAATTAAATCAATTTTGTTTTCTTAATCTTAAACCTGGTAGTATATAAATTCCAGATAAATAAGTCTAAATTGAAAACAACGTTCAAACCTATGATTGCGTTGGATAAAAACCGCAATTTTTATACGCGTGCATGGAAAACAAATTTCGTGGAAGAGGGGTCTAAATACAGCACAAACAACATTTTCCAAAAGACCAAAAAAGTGAAAAAGTATATTTAAACAAAATGCATTTGACTAACAGGTCGAACAACGGATGTTCTTAAGCCCTGCTGACTGCCATTGGCGATTGCCAAATAAACGGATCACAAGGTGTAACAAAATGGATCTTTACTGTTAATTTAATACCAAACAGAAAACAATAAACTTGCGGAAAAGATGGTATACCGCAAACATGAGGTGCAAAAATTTGTACACCATATCTGGATTTCGACAATTAATGTCTCTTCAGTGATGTCAGAAATCGAAACGGTATCCAGATATATATATATTTTATGATTTTTTTCGAAATACATTTTATAATTGCAATAAAAAATCGAAACAATAACCATTAAAATTCAACGCGTTGATAAATTTAATAAATTATATACTTACCATTGAAGAAAGGCCATCAACTTATCATCTAAACGTCTAGAAAATCTTACATATAAATCACAGCCATTTCTATAATTATCTCTTCTAACAACAATTGCACTTACCTGTTTATAGATAAAGAATCCTACACATTTCTGCCTCTGATTTCTCATTAGAGGAAACTTTTCCGTATGTTACCTACTATTGGGAATACGCTGGCTTTATACCTTAAAATACAGATAAATCAATACAGTAATGTACGCGCCTTCAGCTGTTTTATAGCCATAAAGGCACGTGTTTAAGACAAAGAAGTGAAGTGCAGTGATTGATTTTATTGGAAAACATTTCTTAAGAGACCGGGGTAAATATTTGATAGTTAACCTTGTCCAATATAATAGCTTGAAATGATTAGTTTTAATTAATTAGAAAAAAAAACAGTACTTTAATCGTTATTTTGTCAGGAAACATAACTTAAAGATAATATAACTATGTTACTCTTATTGCTTTGGTATCCGGTAGAAAAGCGACTTTCGAGAACTTCTTTTCGATTCTAATAAGGTGTAATGTAAATATAAAAGTTTTATTAAAACCAACAAATAAACAGATGCATTGTTGTTTTCTCTCACACCTTCAAGATGGACAGGGATTGTGTAATGTGGATTGAGCACAGTACACAAGGTGAAGGGGATGAATAAATCGGCTTGCTAAAATTTAATGGACCCATTCGCAGGTCGAAACTAAGGGCAGAACCACGGTAGTATATCATTCAGGGGCCAACATGATATTTAATTAAGTTCACGATCTTGAGGTTTAATGACGTCATATCATGGTAAAGCCGTTAACCGGACAGGACATTCATAACCTCCCGAATAGGTAGCATGTCTGGAAATCAATTGACATGAAATTTAGTTATGAAGATGCCATCGTTGAAGGTTTAATATGTTTGCAATCCATTTAGTGCGTTTTATGGTACAGTTATGGAATTGATATCTTTTAAAATCCGGATTAATGTGTCTATTGCGCGCGTCTGGCGTGCAAAATTATCAGCCTGCTATCTTTGATAAGTTTTGTTTTGTGAGGTTCATACATGTACTATTTGTATTCTCCTATTGGTGTGTGGTAGATAGACTTTTGATGCTTTTAAGTACTATTGCTTCAACGTAAGACCAGTTTTTATCGCCTTTACGTTTACGTCTGTAAAGTTAAAACAAACGGTAAAAGGTTCAGTTAGCTATTATCGCTTTATTATAATTGGGATGGCGGTGTATTAGGAAATAAGCCAATAATTATCAGAAAGTTCGATGATAAAAATTCTCGTTTATCGTCTCCATAGTTGTTATCTCATCACAAAACTTAAGTACAAAGTTTACTTTGCTAAAATACTTTGATTGTGACGAAAAAAACTCCTTAGAACTTACGTCATCTTATAGTTTAATAGTTTGAATTACAACGTTTGGTTGACCTGTGTTACTTTCAATTAGAAAATTAACAAAAAATGCTTTCAAATAGCTTTCAGTAACTGCGAGTACTCGTAAGATCAGTATTTCTTTTTTATCATTTTGTCTTGTTGTTCTTGTCTGTAGTGCCGATCTGAAGAGGTAAGCTAGTTCCAACTAATAAGTACAGTTTGTTCTCGTGTTTTTTTGCGACAAAACTGTCTCAGGTCAGTTAGGGTAGGATTAAGTGCTCACATATATAGATTATGTACAATCCCGCCACATTTTGTATTTGCATTCGAGGGCTTGTTTTTTTTTGTAGTTGTCGTTTGTTACTGTCTCATATCTGTTTATTTAAAATTTTTTAGCATAAATGAAGATGCTGGTTTTTTTCTGTTGAATTGTCTCACATTTTATCATGCCGGGACCTTTTATAGCTTACTATGAGGAGTTTTGTTTTACTAACTCAAAGTTTTTCGGTCTGTGCGCCCACTAGTACTATTTGTCTGTTCCATATTTGAGTTAAGGTAGTTTACTATAAAATTATGATCACATTGATTTGAAAATTATTGCACGAGCATGTTCTTGATGATTTAAACATTAATATATGAACTTGTGGAAGAAAACAGACACATCAAAATGTATCTCTTCAAAAAGTTGCAATCCCATACAATGTTCCAGTGGTAATCTTTTCAGTCAGGCATTGCGAATCAAGAGAATATGCTCCGCTGAAAATAAGCAAAATTCCAGACTTAGTCATTACGTACATGTAAACATTTAGTTGCTCGAGGATTGAATAACAACAGCATAGATACAGCTTCCGAAAAACAAACAGAATTGACCGCAATGAGGTTCTGGTGTGCAGAGATAAGAGTCAAGGAGCAATTTTTCAAGATTGATCATTCATTTTCATCTGTTGCGTTATTTTTTCCGCGGTTTTATTGCATCCCCAACTACCCTGCATTTTATGTTGCAGAATATTAATTTTCTTGTGCAAAACCGTTTAATTTCAGTTCTTACCAGGCCAAGTAGTTATTCGTTTTCTTAGGCCGCAAAATTCGATCTTATTGATCAAAATGTACAATGAGCTGCAAAAGTTTCTATTAAAAAAGAGGAGCAAAAGATACCAGACGGACAGTCAAACTCATACATTGAAAAAAAACTGACAACGCCATGGCTAAAAAATAAAAAGACAAACAGACAAATAATAGTACACAAGACACAACATAGAAAACTAAAGACTAAGCAACACGAACCCTACCAAAAACTGGGGGTGATCCCAGGTGCTCCGGAAAGGTAAGCAGATCCTGCTCCACATGTGGCACCCGTAGTGTTGCTTATGTTATTACAAATCCGGTAAAAAGTCTAATTCGGTAGGTCACATTCGTGAAAAGGGACGGGTATTGTAGTTACAACATAAGGAACATATTCGATATCATTTGTGAAACGGTTATTCCACAACGGTCAACCAACTCGTGATGGCGTCCGTAAATTTACGAAGGGAACTCTTGGTTTAATAGCTTCCTTGTGAGCAGCAACCCTCTATCAAGGAAATCATGATAGGAAATACAAGCCCGAGAATATCGTATCAATTGAGAGATATATACTCCGTATGCAGGCGCTGCTGGAATGTTGCTACATGGAAATAGAAAGTTCACAATTGGGAAGCTGAAATCATTTCTTTTGTCGTAAAGTTTTGTTTTCAACCGACCCTCATTGTCAGTTTCTAGATGTAAGTCAAGATATGAGGCAGACTTAACTGTATCTGTAGTATCCTTTATCTCTAGTTCAATAGGATAGATTCGTTCAACATAGTCACCAAATTTTGTATTATGTAGTGAGAGAACATCATCTATATAGCGGAACGTAAAGTTAAAGGATATTGCTAACTTCTTATCTTTCTTCCTATGAAGTCAGTCTCATAATAATAAAGAAACAAGTCGGCAAGAAGAGGGCACAATTGGTTTCAATTGGAATTCCGACAGTCTGTTGAAAAACACGTCCTCCAAACGTAACAAATATGTTGTCAATCAAGAAATCAAGCATCTTGATAATGTCAGTTTCAGAGAATTTTTTGTTTGAATCAGAGGTATTCTTTACAAAGTAGGATTTATCCTTCCCAAAGACAAGATACTTGTATACTTTGTCTTTTAGTTTGGAATGGGGAATACTTGTGTAAAGTGTAGAAAAGTCAAATGTTTTAATACTATTGCTAGATGAGAGAGTCTTAGATTGTATGTACTCTAAAAGATCTTTGGAATTTTTTAGTATCCACATCTGATTCACGCCACCTCTAGAATAGGCAGTTTCACAATAACTTTGAAGCCCGGCTTTGATTGCTGATAAAATAGATGTTAATAATTTAGAAGAGGTTTCGTGGAGCACTCGGAAGACCCAGCAATATACCGTTGTTTGTAAGGACACTTATGTAGTTTAGGTATCCAATACAGTGGTGGAAGATCCAGTTCTTCATCTTTGTTTGAAGTTCCAAAGGAACATAGAACAGACCTATGATTATCAAGGATTTCTTCTTTGGTAAGTGTCGTGAGAGTATATGTTGAGTTTCCAAGTGAATTGTCAATACCTAATTCATTTATCAAGCAGTTTATGTAATGAGATATACTCACAAAAACGATGTTGTTGGGGGCTTTATCTGCGGGGACAACAACATATTTGTCATGGTGGTAGGACAAGTGTTTTGCAACATTTGGGTCTTTAAAGATTGACGTAGCATGAGTATTGATAGACCCATTTATTTTCTTAATTCGGATTTGTATCAACGACCTCACAGCCTTAATCCATTCGGAAAGAGTATCTACGTATTAAATCAGTTTCCGATTGAACCTGGATAGATGTAAGCCCGATGAATCTTGTTTGTCTAGCCAAATATTGCGTTTATTTTCTGATCGCATTGTTAAGATTTTCAATAGTTACACACTAAAATGTAAATAATGTGTTAAAATTATGTTGTAGGTATACGGACTGCTCAAAGAGTTGTTTGAAAATTCAATTAACCACAAGTAGCATGGCACTCAACCTACACTTGGCATTTGATTTAACGTCCCGATTCCGATCAGACGTGCTAGCGTATTTATACATCCGGCTTAGCTAAACGGAAGCCCATTCTTCGCATTCGTTCTGCTGACGGATGGGAGAAGACAACAGATAACCTTAGTTCTATATCCCAGTAAATTGTGTTGGGTTTTTTTTTCTAGAGAAAGCACATGCTCTCAACTTCGTTTATTATTCGTGCTTTCAACTTTTTCTGTTCAAGAGTCACTGATGAGTCTTTTGTAGACAAAACGTGCCTCTGGCGAACAAAATTGTAATTAATGATATCTTTGGGGAGTCCGACCCCCTTCCGATTTCATGTAGTGCTTAGTAGTTTAACTTTGAAACCATTGTGATATACATTTTATGTACCTGTATAATACGTCTAGTTACTGCAACCATTCAGATACAGCAACTTGTGGAAACTTTTTCTACTAATGTTATCTACTGTAAGTCCCGAGGGTATCACCAACCCAGTAGTCAGTACCGAAATGAAAATACGGAAATTATTTTATTAAAATTTGCTGTTATAAATTTGGCTACACTTTAAATCCTTTTAGGTTTGTTCCGCTCTATAACATTTGTATAAGATTTTGGATATTTCTATATGTTTTGACCTCGAGCATCACTGAAGAGACGTCATTTATCGAAATTCGCATCTTTGTGCATCACAATTGGAACTGTTAATGTTTTCAACTTTATCATATTTTAAAAAG